GTTTCTCTCAAACTATTTCGGTTAACGGTTATCCTATCTTCATGAGCTGGATGAAATGGATAATATTCGGAAGGCAGTTTTTTTACATAATTTTATTTCTATATAATTTTTCAATGATTTCTCTCCCAAATTATCAACTATCAACTTAATAAAGGTATGTTCTTCTCTAAGTTACTGATGATATATAGTTTATAACTCGTTTGTTTAGTAAATTAATTTACAATTTGTAGAATGAAATCATCTAATGTTAATCATGTTTGGATATCGACATGTGGATCACCAGTGCCATCACAATCATCTTTTCCTTTACCAAAATATGGATCCTCATCAAAATCCAAAGCTCATATGGTGCCAAGCAAAAGGAAATCAAAATCTCAATCAAAATCAAAATCCCAATCACAACCGGCTTCACCTTTTGGGACTTATTAACTTAGGTGATTTTTAAATGAAAACGTTGTATTATGTGTATTTATTTTATGTGTATTTATTTTATGTGTGAATGCATACATTTTCAGTCAGACATTCATTAGTAACTTGAGTTTGAACATTGCTATGATCTGTTCAGTTGTTATCATGTTGGGATTTTCTCTTGTGTTTAATTGCTTGGATAGTTGTTCTCTTGCTTCTTCAAGTGTCATTAGCTTGTATTTATAACTTGGAATGTATTTGATGTTGTATATAACTTGATGTTGTATGTTGCGATCAACGCGAAAATCAAATTCGCAACGCGAAATCGAAAACTGAAAATCGCAACGCGAATTTAACTTTCGCGTTATTCGCGTTGCGAATTTGACTATCGCAACGCTTATTTCGCATTGCGAATTTACCTTTCGCGTCAGCCTCTGTCATATACCATTGTCTTCAAGGATGGGAACTGAAGCTCGACGAGAAGCCAATGACGACGTTCCAAAACAGGGATAAACACCTGCAATCATAAATAATTGCGCACATCAAATAAAATTTATGAAAACCTTTAAAATATTCAAAAAATAAATACTAACCTTATCCACCTCCCACCACACAAGATAAAGTTTAGCTTTTCCATTACCCAACGTATATGAAGCATCTCTCGGATCCTTCAAGTGAGCAACGTGAAAAGACTTCGGCATAATAGTCCATCGAGTATTTCTTATTTTCCTCAATTTCCTTATTATTAGAAGACGTGTGACACCCATGAATCAATATGCTGTTTTATAAAAAATACATATATTAGTGAATTTATTAATAATTTAAAAAAATAATCAAAGCGTAATATAAGACTTACCACCCCTTTGAGATAGCCATTATCTTCAAACCCTAATAAAATACCCCACCAAGATCGATCAAGTAACAAATGAATAGTATCGTCGAGTTGGCATAGGTCAGAATAACACCCTTGCTCCGCTCATGTAGATAAAAATCAAATGCGGTCTTAGCCCAAAGGGTATTATCCGTAATTGTGTCCGGTAGTGTTTCCCTCTCCTGCTGAGGAATGGTACTGGCCGATAACACATACGAAAGCCAACTTGCATCCATCATATCAGGCAGGGGAGGGGGTTTATCAATATGTCAACATATGACGATATATGAATTGGGCTCTTGAACGGCAGGCGATACCTCTTGAACGATGACAGGGGCCTCTTGAACAGTGGGAGGGGCTTCTTCGATGATGAGAGGGGCCTCTTGAATGATAGGAGGTGCCTCTTGAATGATTATAGGTGCATCGAGCTTCTTCTTACGGAGTCTTGGCACTAGTGGGGTGAATGGAGATGTAATGGCACGTGCACGACGTCTGATGTGTGAACCCCGTCGTGCAAGAAAAACCCGACGTAAAGCATCAACCTTATCGGGCCGCTAAAAATAAATTAATACATAAATCAGTAAATAAATAAACAAATAATGCCGAAAAAGGTTATTTGCATTTTTAGTATAGTATTAAACAAATTTACCTCATTGCGTAGAGTATGAACCTCATTCTGCAACGATGAAACAATCTCGCGTAGAGCGACAACCTCATCACGTAAAGTAGATACCTCACCACGTAGCTCACCATTGTCATCGCGTAAAAAATCCACCTCACCACGTAAAGACCGAACCTCATCACGCCATGCACCATTATCTTCATGTAAAGTACCGACCTCATGATGCAAAGCACCGACCTCATCACGTAACTCCCCTAACTCATCCCGTGGAGGTGGAGAACAGAGAGATAAATATCGTAGCCTCTTTGTCGGTCGTCTATCATGGGGTGATGGTGGTGAAGAGGCTCAATGATATGATGGAATAGGTGATGGTGGAGATGGAGAAGAGGCTCGATCAGGTGATGGCTCCGGGTGTCGAGCTGTAGAATCGGCCCGATCAGGTGATGGCTCTCGATGTGGGGGGTGCTTATCATCCTTCCCATCAAAAAACCGCTTACTAGCTTTCCACCAATCAGTGGCAAGCTCAGCCTCTGTAGGTGTCAGCCTCTGTAATGGATAGTTGGCCTCCTAACAATATAAAAGCTCAAACAAAGTTAAACTTGTACTAGTAATAACTTGTTTATATATGGTATTATTTGTGTGTTAACTTACATCATTCATCGTCATATATAGGAGTAACTCATTCCAATCCAATATGCGGATCCTCTTCCAGGTAATAGCCCTAGGAATATCATTTGATATTTTTATCGCAAATGTCTGCATGCTGGGGAAAGCCTCAAATATCCAAATCTACAAAACAATATAATACACAAACATTAGTAATTGTTAAATAATTAATTATAATTTTGGAAACATTATATAGAAATTCTTACCTTAAAGGCCCAAGTAAAGCCTGTCAAAGTGTATTTAGAACCATCGCCCCGCAAACTTTTTCGGTCCTCAAAGGCAGACGACAACTTCTTCCAGGTAGCTTTCAATAGATATGAACCCCACGGAAACAGGTTCCATGCATTTAGGTCCTCTACCAATAATATTAGGTCCTCAGAGATAGGTTGTCTGCCCTCTTTGCCTAAAAAGCCGGCATGCAAAAGTAATAAATGGCATACTCGGACAACATCAAGGTCATTCATCCGAGTAAAACCATATTTAACAAATAATCTCTTCAAGTCGTCGACGTGTAAACTCAGCTTCGACTTTGCCAGCTCAGGAAAAACCCGAGATAACCATGATGGGCAGGAGATATGACTAGTGTACCGGGTTACTTCATCGTGTTCGAAGCTTAGATTAAGCAAAACTCCTCCCACCCAAAACAAGTATACGCCGGTGTCTGAGGAAAGTGAAACCATATATCTTCATCACCACGTTGTATCCTCTCGGGTAGATCGTTAGTCATGGTCTGAAGAAACAAATGTGTCAACATAGCATCTCCACCCATATGTTGTACTTTCAGCCATGGCCCGAAGCAAGTATCCTCAAACAATTTTCTTTATAGAGGTGTAAGCGTCGACGCAATTTTAGTGGCTAGGCTTAATTTATTCCATAAGATCAATGCAGTCGAAAAAAATTTCTACAAAAACAATAAACATACCAAGTTAGATATACCAAAAACTACAAATTATACACTATAAACAGACATGATATTAAACAGTGAAAACAAAGCCAAATATGTTTCAAACTAGTACGGTATTCATATGCTGTCATTTTTCAATCATAGTTCACAAAATGCGTCAAATAACATTCCAGAAGTAAGCACTTATATAAACATTTAAAAGGACAACATATAGGTTTAGTGCAAGTTCAATGACAACATAAAGAGTAGTAGTTTATTCTTGAAACTTAAATTAGCAACACTGTGAAGTTAATATTTGTCTTTGTTTTTTCTTTTTGTTGAAGTAATGCAATTCATTCAAGTTTCAATTTGCAGAATAAGAGTAGTTTCTGAAACTTAAATTCGCAACACGAAAATGAAAATCGCAACGCGAAAATGAAAATCGCAACGCGAAACTAAAATCACGTTGCGATTTTCATTTCCGTGTTGCGAATTTAAGTTTGAAAAACTATTCTTCTGCAAATTGAAACTTGAATGAATTGCATTTCTTCAACAAAAAGACAAAACAAAGAAAAATACTAACTTCACAGGATTAAAGACTAAACAATTTAGCAGTATTGGCAGCAACCGAATGAATTTACTAAGCAATCTCAATGAAATGGTTAAAATATATATTGAAATTAACAGTAAATTTATCATCAATATAAGAAAAATCTAATAATAATACAAAAAATTTAAAATAAAATAAGAGATTAAAAAACTAACCCTCGGTGGTTGATTTTCCATTTCTAACCATCAATTGGTTGTGAGGGTTGCTCTGAGAGATGGAGATAGACGGATTTCGCCGGATATGGGGACGGATTTCGTCGGAGATGGGGACGGATGTCGCCGTAGAGAGTGAGAGATGGAGATGGGACTGAGTTGTGATTTAGGGTTTTAGGTTATGCTTTGCGATAATACTGTTTACATTTGTGTTGCGAAATTAATATTGTGTTTCGCGTTGCGAATTTGACTTCCACGTTGCGAATTTGACTTTCGCAATGCGAATTTGACTATCACGTTGCGAATTTGACTATCACGTTGCGAATTTGACTATCGCGTTGTGAATGTGACTTTTGTATTGCGATTTACAAATTTGAGTTGCGAATTTGACTATCGTGTTGCGAATTTGACTATCGCGTTGAGAATTTGACTTTTGTGTTGCGAATTTGACTATCGCGTTGCGAATTTGACTTATGTGTTGCGATTTACAGATTCGCGTTGCGAAATTGGAAAATTGCAATGCGATTTACAGATTCGCGTTGCGAAATTGGAAACTGTGTTGCGAAATTGGAGTTCACGTTGCGAATTTGTTGGTCATTTTGGCAAATCAAAAAAAAAAATAGTTAAAATCGTATATTATAATGCATTTTCGGTCACTGAGGTTATTTTCTCATTTTCTTAACCTTAGAAAACAAATTATTCCGTGTCATCTACGACTCCTCCTTCAACCCCTATACATCTCTCACTTCGATGAATTTGTAAACCCTTTCTGGCTTTCTTAACTTTTTTCAAGCAAAGCCGTCTCTCCTGTTACTCTACACTTTCTTTCATTTCTTATTTAAAACATGGAGAATCGTTATCAAATGTTTTTTCCAATCTCTTCTTCCCCAGTAGCAGCAGAAGCACCGTATGACCCTTTTACAGCAAACACTTTTGTACCCAATAATCGTCAAGCTTTCAACAATGGGAAATTTGTTGGGTCTGAAAGTGATGATCAGTTGAAATCATCAGCTGGTGTTGATAAAAAGAAGGTTAGAAAGCCTAGATTTGCTTTTCGAACAAGGAGCCCTGTGATATACTTGACGATGGATATCGTTGGAGGAAATATGGCCCAAAAGCTGTTAAGAACAACAAATTCCCAAGGTACGTTTCACTCTAATTATATTTTATTTCTTTTTTTATTCAAAGGGTGCTTTTGATCTTGATTCATATCATATTTTGGAGAAAAAAAATTAATGTTTTCAACATTGTTGCAGACCCACCATCATTATCCATATATCAGATCCTTCCACAGTAAAGTAATTAACAGTTAAAAGAGTTGGTGAAATTGAAGTTGCTTTCAAAGTTATAAAGAATTCTAATATCCATGGATGACATATCCGTTGCATGCATAAATACAGAAACAAATCCATAAATTATGATTTTCTATAATTATTTGTCTAGGGTTTGATGAGTAAAATTGTACTACTTGCTGTCTGTAACGAGTCCACAAATTCTTCTTGAAAATAATCATGATTTGTCTGAAACACAAGCATATCAAATTAATCCATAATGTTTGCAATGTGTACAGAAGCTATTATCGATGCACAAATAAAGGATGCAATGTAAAGAAGCAAGTCCAACGTCTAAGCACGGATGAAAGTATGATAGTGAAGACCTACGAGGGAATGCACAATCATCCTATAGATAAGGCTACTAAAAATTTTGAACATATATTGAGCGAGATGCATATTTGTACACCCTTTTTCCATGTTTAGCTCTTCATCATCAAAGTTCTACTCTATGCCTTTCTTTATATACCCTAAAATATGTACTTAGATAAAACTGTATTATTTCTTTGTATGTTAACTCTTTTCTTTTCTTTGTGGGACTGAATAATTATTTATGAATATATGAAGGGAATTAAAGCAGAAACCTCATTTTTGAAGTTGTCTAATCAGTAGGATAGTTAGAATAATTTGTGTTTGAAATATTATGGAATTAATCATATTCTCTTAAAGCAAAATTCCCTATCATTTTGATTTCTGTTTCTGTTTCTTTTTATTTTGCATTTTGAGTTTTATTTTTCCTTGAATTTTTTGAAAACAATTAAATATAAAAATTAATATATAATCCAGACTAAGCACGATTCCTTAAATATAAATAATTCTAGCTCCTCTGTATTAAATCCTTGACATTTTCAAAAATAAAAATAAAAGCACAAAGGTGGGTGACATTCTTCAGTCTTCATCACCACATTCTAATGAAGACAACAAGAAAAGTCTTATTCAGAATAATAAAAATAAACTGCAGTCCCCATGCTTTAAGGGTCCAGCCTTTAGTTAATTCTCTGTGTGATTATTACAAGCAACGAAAAACATTCTTTTTTTCACTCAACCTCGTTCCTAGTGGAACCCATCAATAAGAGAAGAGTCTAGTAATACTAATCTCCAAATGCTAATTAAACTATTACTTATAATCTATAAAAGTTGTTCCAGATAATCTCATGATGAATCAGATTGAGGAGATTTGAGTCATGAGTTTAGCACAATGACGGCATTGTCCTTCATATTTTTATATTTTATATAAAATTCCAGTACATTGGAAACTAAGCCTAAAGCAAATGCATGTAGAAAAAATGGCATTAACAATGAACTGAAATCAAGTCATCGTGAGCGAAAAGTCTAAACCTAGGAAAAACACTAGCATAAACTTGAGAGGTGTCAGCCCTCAGGAACATTATAAATTTCATAAACATAAATATACTTAACAAATATGACAATAAGTAGTAAGTACATGACGATTCATAGCCAAGTACTACATGCTTAGGTTCATCAGTTTTATCACAAGGGTGCAAGTCTCATACTTTCCTTAGTCTGTAGTTAATTAAGAACCTAGACATGAACATATATTTAGTCCCTAAACTTAATATCGTACCAACATATGTAATACAAAATCATTACAATCACAGTGATAACCCCGGTGTCACTATAATTACAATCACAATAATAACACCCAGTGTCACTATAATCACCAGGTGCTAATCACAAATTAGGGAACTTGGTGTCACACATGCCTCAATAAAATTTTAACCAACCAAGAAAAATGATCTTCCGGTATCACATATACCTCGGGTATAGATCATGGAGAACTTCGTGTCACAAATACCTCAATATAATTTCCGCTTTCAATATATTACATTGATTCGATGTCATCATGGTCATCAAGTCAAGCATCATTAATATTTAACTATCATAATCAATGTAATCATAACATGCATAAGTGCTCATAGCCACATATAACAATCATTGACTCTCAAGGCTAATCAATTTTAATTTGAGGGGATAAAGTATATCTTTTCTAAAATTGGGGGACAATTTCATAATTATCTCATAAATACTTTAAATTTTATATACAAATTCAATGTAAAAGCAATTATCGTTTGGGGCACAACCCCTCGCATGCCCTTAATAGTTTTGTCCCTGAGGGTAGCTCAAGTACACAATACAATTATCAACACAATCAGGTGAGATCTTCTACTCTCTCCACACTACATAACTCATTCTCTCATCTAGAATGTTATGAAAGGCTAACCTAGTCATTTTACCTCTACTAATTCATTAAACCACTCTGCTCAGGTCTTTAGCACAAGGGCATTTTGATCATTTATACCTCTAAGGTGTCTTCTAGAAATTTAGTGAGTTAAGGCACCTAACAGTATCCCTATTCACACGTTTTATCATTTAGTAGCCCGATATTGAATTAGGGTTGATTATCGTTAACTTTTTAGTCGCTCTCAATTCACCGTTGAATTGGAAGGATGACTTGTACGGTATTGATTTGTCGATAATGACATGGTATGCAGTTCCTCTAACACATTATTCACATTATACATCATCTCACTTGTAAACCTTCCTTTTGCACGATTCTTTGTTCATGATAGATCGTTACATACTCGTTTAGGGCATTTTTGAAATGTCTCACTCACTCGGGTTATTTTGATCAATCACCACTCTTGAAGGTGTTCTTTAATCACATTGGATCATTTCAACCTCTCAAACGTTGAATCTTAATATTGCGAGTCAGTCTTCACCTTTACGAGTCTTAATGAATTCAAACTTAACTTTTTAGGGCATGTTAGATCGGAGTAATGACAGTTGTGACAGTATTAATACCAGAAAATACCTTAAAGACCCCCGATATCGATACAACATGAAAAAAATGAAAAATATAACTATTTCCATGAAGAGTAACAATACTTCATGTGCAAAATGTATAGATTCTTCACCAATTCATTTGATATTGATATCGTTCTTCAAGTATCGATACTTAAGTGTTGAAATACAATAATGAAAAAAAAAACTTTTCAAATATTCTAATTTAACCCAATCGACTCCTAAAATTAAGAAAGTCATTTAAGATCATCTAACACCACAAAAACACAAGGTTAATTATGCACCACCGAAGAAAGTTGTTATGTACACAAGATCATGATAAGTTAATTTAAGTTTTGGGGATCGTAGCATTATCTTAAGAGATTCATTACGCGCATTCAAAGTAGAGTCCTATTTACCTTTAGTTGGATATATAATTTTAATAGAAACTTTATTGATTTATCACATGGTCTGTATACTCTACTTTTGGATATACTTCAACCGTTGTTTTTTTTATTTAAATGTCGGAACTTCATATTTGCAATAATTTCTTGGACATTCAATTTTAATAAGCACAAAGGTTTTAAATTCAACATATTTAGCCATCATTTCCAATTCACAACCAGTTTCAAAACATACAAAACCTCCAATGAATCGAGCAAGTCGGTTGGTGTTCACTGAATCGTCTGAGTTTATGATCTCTTCAGTAAATCATATGTGAAAAACAAAGAATACATCGTTCTCATACCTAGCTGATTGAATCCTGTGTTCTGTATCAGGATGCTAGGAAAAGGAATTACATATATGATCGCATGCGTGGCCTGACTACAGACTGTGCCCCGTCAACGAATATAGTCGTTCCGGTCATATAGCGGGGACCGTCACTTATTAAATAGATAACAGTTGGAAGCCAGATCATTTTTAGCATCCAACCATCTCTGTCATGGAACTGCTTCTTTCACCAACTTCTCTGCCTTCTCCTTTCCAACTGACTTTGGAAATTCATCTTCTAAGTGCAAACCACGAGGTATTGCATTAACCCTGATCTTGTGTTTCCCAATCTCCAAAGCTGATACCTAATAACAACAATGAAAGAAAAACCGAAAGTCATTCCGATATTCCACCACATAGGATATACCAGTATGTTCGTGAAGAGCTAAAGCAAGCAAGATAAGTTTTTGCAGAAAGGAACTAAGCTAAATGACTCAGAGACTCAAAGGAAAGCTCAGGAGTTACTCTAACTAACTGCTGCAATCCTGCCAAACATGAACCATATGCAGCACCTACTTGATAGAGCCCTCTTTCAGCTCCGAGTAGCATAGTCATGAATACGATGGAACCATCCGACTTACGATCCTGCATCCGCCTCCCAACTGCTTTTAGCAGATACCACGGAGCCATAAAATTTATTTTTATGATTTTTCTGAACTCTTCTTCAGCTAACTGCAGATGGTCTTGCATCTTCCCTGGTTCACATAGTTTTCACTTGTTACATTACACTGGAATGAACACAGTAATGAAAGAGATAACCAGAGGACGCAAATATACATTTTGTTTTCTATATGCAAAACACTCAACTTTCCTTGAAAATCACCAAAAAAATTTCACAATCTTTACAGGTTTATAAATTATATTGTTCTTCACTTTATGGTATTGTAACCTGCAACCACGTTTGGCTAAATTTAAAGCAATGCCCACTGAGATTTCATCTCCATCTGAAGTGATCAAACATTCGTTGCTCGATTCTCCATTCTAAATAGCCAACTGCCAATCAACTAAAAACCCCAGAAATCATCAAAAAGCAACTAGATCAAACAGAACCCAGAAAGAAAATCCAAAGCTATAAATCAAAAACACAATACGAAAGTGTTCATTTATTACCTCTATATTGCTTCTAATGAAATGAATCAAAGAAAAGGCTTGTGGAGATTTATCCCTTGTAACTTGCTTTTATAGTCTTAAGGAAATTGTTTCAAGTGTTTGGCTGACAATAAGGCAAAAAAAAAAAAAATCCTATGCATTTTTGGGTGTTCTTTGTAAATATAGTAACGGTTTTTAAAGGTAGATGCTTTCTTAGGAAAAAAACAGTACTTTAACAACCTCCAATCCAAGGATATATTTAATAATATTTTTAGTTTATTTATTTTTGGAAGTTTATATTTATTAGTTCCTGATATCAATTTCTCAATGCTGATTCCG